CTATTTCCTTCCTGGCTCATAGAAGTGTGGACTGGGGACCCCAGTTCCCAACTCCCAGCAGAATGCCAGTAGCACCTGGATACACGGGAAACTGGGAACCACATATATAAACACACATATCATACATGAATGCACATACATGCCCAACCTCAAATTAACCATCTTTCTTCCTTCCTTGTATTCTTCTTCAATCTATATAGTCATCTGTTCTGAACACACATTTAAAAGAAAGATACTTGGCTCCTCAGGGTCGACAAAGTTGAGTCTATTTCCTATGCTGATACACAGCTCTAAGTGCAGAACTATGTCAGCATCAAAGCCCTTCTGGACCAAAGGGCGCTCTCTCCTATTAGTCCTATGGCTTTTACTGTTTGGAGAGAAATCATTTCTCTGAAAAACTTCAGATTGAATATCTTTCTCCCAGCATGAGGTGCACTCACCTGTTGGCTCTGCATCTGTATCCTAACCAACATGTTTCTCAATGGGTATTCTTACCCTAGTCACCTCAACTCCCTTAGTCAGAAGTCATTTCAAACATGCCCAAGGAGGGCCATTAAGTGTTCTCAGAGCAGCAGGCCTCTGTTATAACTGACCAATGCCAGCAGGGGCTTTTGGGTTCCCTTCTGTTATTTTCTTTGTTTTTAGAGATAACAGCAAGAGACCTACTACAGAGCTCTTTCTACCAAGGTTTGGCTTACATTTACATGTGAAGTTAAAGTCACTTTTTAAAACACGTCTTTTGCTGAGTTCCCTTAGGAGGTTCCCTGCTAACTGGTTTCTTTATAAACTGATCCTGACACAGTAATGCAGTCGTGACATCTCCCAAAGGGGCAATGTTTCAACTGGGAATCCCTGGTCAGATGCTTTTGGAGTGAAGAGCGGGATGAGTAAGTGACTTCGGGACATCTGTTCAGTGGTGAGAACTGAAAAGGTGTTCATTCTCAGTGTGCTTAATCAATCCCAAATGGTGAGGAAAAAGGATGCTCTACAGTCAACAAAGGAGCTACAAAGCCTGAGGAAGCTCACATTTGATAGCAGTTACTCCAGTGGAGTAAAAGAACAGTTCTCTGGGGTTGGCGGGGAACTGGTGTCATTAGTGCCGGCACTATGGAAAGAAACACAGTGGGTAGAAGTGACATAGAACTCGAGAAGTGCCTGAAGGCCCAGAGATGACAGTGTCACATAAAAACTGGAGACCTAACTGGACATCATCGGTGATCCAACATTATCACACAAGTTTATAATGTTTATAATATTAACTCCAAATTGAAGGCCATTTTTCAGCTGACTTTCACACATTTTATAAAATCTCATTTGGAATCCCAAGACTCTTTAAAATGTGGCCATATAAACTAAACTTAAAACAAATGAAGGAATAAACGATAGATTTTTAACATTGGCTCAGTCTCTAAAGCTACTGTGTAAGATATAGGGTAACTAAAGAATATGCTCAAGAATATTCAACAGCTTTGCTTTACCTGTTGATCAAATGGTTAAGAATGCTCTTGGATGATGAAAACAACATCCTTGTACTGTACCAGTCATAGTAACCAAGGAAACCTATTACCAAAACGCCAGGGTAAGAGTATAAAGTTTGGAAATAAATAACATAAATAGAAGTAGTTTGATCTGCAGAAGAAAAGGTGAAAATGGGAACATCTAGGAGAATGGAGGTTCTCAGGAAAGGGAAGGATAGAAAAAAAAGTTGGTAAAGAATCTACATGGGCTGGTCCATGGTTCCTGCTATATATGTAGCAGAGGATTGCCTTATCTGGCATCGGTGGGAGGGGAGGCACTTGGTCCTGTGGAGGCTTGATGCCCCAGGAAGGGGGGATGGATGTTAGAGGGCTGAGGCAGGAATGGGTAGATGGGTGGGGGAGCACCCTATTCAAGGCAAAGGAGAGGCAGAAGGGGTAGAGGTTTCATGGAGGGGAGACTAGGAAGGGGGAATCACATTTGAAATATAAACAAAATGATTAATAGAAACAAATTAAAACAAAAAAAAAAGAAAACGGAGTTGGAGAGGTTAGAGATTAGGACCATGAAGGGTTAACAGAAATCTCAAGCCTCAAAGAACTTGGAGGAAATTGTGATTTTAATATTAAACTGTTTTTAAACAATTGGCTGCGCAGAGGAAAATAAATAAGGGAATAAGGGGGGGTGATTGGATTCTTGGAGAAAACGGTCAATATTTGGGCATATTTTATTAATAATGTACATGAAGGAAATAAACTCAACATTTCATACGTCTAGCTGGCGGTAAGTTGCTGTGGGAAAGAATCAACTTGGAAAGCAACCAGACAAATTGAGTAAGTGGTCTAATTGAATGAGAACTTAGGCCCAAGAGTAATAGTAAAAGTTTTTCCTTAGTCCAATGGTTCTTGAGTCTGAAATTGGGGAACATAAGCCAAGAGAAGTGAAACAGCATTTTAAATTGCCTAAAATAATAACTATTTTATTTGACTTAAGAGGGGATTTAATTAGAATATATTTGCGATAGTCTCAGAAAGCAGGCAGAACAAGCCATGGGAACAAGGCAGTAGGCAGCACCTCTCTGTGGCCTCTGTAGCAGCTCCTGCTTTCAGCTTCTGTTCTATTTGAGTTCTTGCCCTGACTACCCTCAGGGATGACTCATTACCTGGAACTATAAACCTTTCCTTCCAGTATCCCCCAAAGAAATGAAAAAGCTAGTTGAAGATTAAACAAGGACAAGTTAACAGAAATAGAATTATTTACCTTGATTAAAAAAAAAAACAAATGGTTATAGAGGAAAATTACTTCCTTGTAAACTATAATTACAACGAATTATTCTCCTGCCCCAGACAGGACCTCTGATTGGGAAGAACATGTAGAAATAACAGCAAGGTAATTTGATTTACTATATATAAGAGATATAGAAAATAAGAAAAAATAAATACTGGAACATCTACTAAAAGGGGTTATAAGGTTTATTTATTTTTTTCATCCCTAGACAAACTTGAAGAAAACGTGGCTCCTCTATCCTAGAGTCTGCATGTTAGTAAACATTTGTTTTTACCAAACATCCTTGCAGACATGGTTGAACTTTTGTGTTGGATCATAATGAGACTATTTTGTGAAGTTTGTATATTATTATACAATATAGCTTTTGCGTCTGGGATCCATATATCCTTCATGCTTTACTCAATTGCAAATAGGTAAGGTGAAGAAAAAATCTGCTTCAAGGGCATTCTCATGTTTAGAATGATATCTTTGGACACAGTAGTATTATAGTATCAGACATCCAATCACACAACCAAATCTTGGTAGGCTCCCCATCAATACAGGTGGTCCTCAGCTTTGAGGAATCCCAGTAAAAGCATCATTAAGCTAAAGATATTGTAAATTAAGAACTGCATGGAACTCATCTGAGCTTCTGAACCTCAAAGAGTAGACACCCTGTAGAGTCAGCTTCTTACCGTCATGATTGACTAATAGTCATTTTGAATACCGGACACACCATGAAAATGTCATACTGCACACACTGTTAGGCTAGGACAAGGGCAGACTTCAAGATTAGAAGTATTCTTTCTACTGTAATGCTGTAAAGGCACAAATTCTTAAGACTAACCATTATCATTGGGAACTCTGTATAGATCTGGAGGCTCTCGCTGTGATACGCATTGCTTTGTTTACTTTCAGCAAGTCCCCAAGTCCCAAGTTCTAGGTCCAATACATCCACCCCGTTAGTCTTTTTCTTACAATCCTTCCATTTGTTCTGGTAGGCTTTAGAATGTCTTCTGACAAGGCTCACAGATGTCTCCACTGTGTAGACTGTTCAGAGTAAGCTATGACATTTGGGCCTCACACACAGACACTTTCAATAAGCTATCCATATAGTCTCATCTACTTCCTTCTTCCGTGTTTGGCAGAGCTAATTCCTATGAACTATATTCGTGCCTACATACTTTTCTCATACATCCTACTGAATCCTCCTTACTGTACACATCCACTGCCCTGTCCAGTATTCCTTTATTTGATGCGAGCTGCTTCATTGGTTTTGAGCAGGAGGCCCAGGTAAATAGCCCTTAGTGCAGCAGTTAATCAAAGATGAACAGCTGGGTAAATCCCAAGATTTTGTTCACCTCGGCTGAAATAATTCTGAGCTGTGTTCTACAGAGCATCAAGAGTTCAGCAGCAGGATCAACACCCATACTGACTCATACTAACCCTGCAGAGATTTCCTTAACACCCTGGCCTCACTTTCTAAGGCATCTTGTTCCCACACTAGGGAGAAAAGAATTTCATACCTCTCTCTTGCCACCTCCAGTTGAACTGTCATGAGAAAAAGTTCTTTCCTTTCCTTATATAAGCATTTTTTAAAAAAATAACTTAGTTTAATAATGTCTTAAAAATACAGATTAACATCCAAATTAAAGCAAACAACTTGGGGCTCTGTATATGCATTGTATCCACAACCAATGATTTAGTCACACCGTTGGGAAAGAGCTGTTTTGCTTTTTTTTTTTTTTTTCACTCAAATAAAGTAATCTCAGATTGGAAGGTTTAAAAGGCTTGTTGTTCCTATCAGCTTTAGAAGTCAGATTTCTTGCAGAATGTTGTGTGAGTCTATGGTCTAGGAAGAGGGAGTGGGAGTTGGCCACAGAAATACCTTGTTTAAGCAGTGAGATCTATCCTTGCTTGTCAGGGCAAGCAAGCATGTTATTTCTGAGTGGGTTTTTCTTTTTTCTCTCTTTTTTTTTTTTGGCTCTTGATCATGCTATGAGACACCTGTATAAAATGAAGCTTCTCATCTCTCCATATGCTATGGGTTAATGTGCCCTCTTTGCCTGAGTTATAACCAAATATGTAAGTCAAATGACACTAGATCTGGCTTTGGAGAAACACTGGGATTTTGAAGTACTGGCAGATTTCAGAACTGATGTTAGTCCACAGAAAGCAAACATTCCTTGGCCTCCTTCCAGGCATTCCAGATGGTGAGAAATTCTGAAATTAGTCAACAAGAAGGGAAGTGGGCTTACCCGGATCATCATGACTGAACACCTGATATCATGGATTGTGTCATAGATCTTCTTTGAGATGTCCACAAATTGATTATCATCAACCGCAGTAAGCGAGTTCTTGCTTAAAGCATCCAGGGCAACATTCACTTGTGTCACAAACTCCGGGATCACTATGAAAATAAGTAATAAAGAGATTATATCCTTTGTATCTCTGGATTCCTACAGCTTCCCGGAAATGCACAATTGTATTTTAAGTGAATACCTCACTGCTAGGTTTTTTTAGAAAAATATTTTTACTAAAGAGAATCAAACATTATGGCAGAGTTATTTTGACCTCTAGAAAATAAAGGCAATCAAAGACAATGAAGAACATAGTTATAGAAATATAAAATATTCTTTTTTTTATGTCCTGCTGATCTGGATAAAGCTTAAGAGCCTTTTTGGTTTCTAAAGCTATTGAGTATGAAGCTCAGGAAATTGAAAACTTGACTTGATGTGGAAAATATTTGGGATAATGACCATAAAGATATTTAAAGAAAGAGAACACCTGCCCCACAACTTGGCTCAGCAGGGAAATTTCTTGCTGCCTATCCTGACAAGATACATTGGGTATCTGGGTTCCACAGACAGAAGGAGACAACTAACTCCTCTAGACTTTCTTTCTTCTGAGCTCCACCTGTATGGTATGATTTGCATAAGCAGTCACATATAAGTCAATGCCATTAAAAATTGAAACGAGTAACAAAGTTTCTGAGTTGCTAAATAGGAGAATATGTAGTCCTCTATACTAATTTTATCTCACAAGAATAATAAAAGTGATATGAATGTTCTTTGGGTAAGATTTTTCTCCATAACAAAAAAATAACATGACAGCATCTTATGCACCCTAGCTCAGAAACAGTAGAATACCAACTATGCACAAGGGAGAATCTTCTTAGGTCAATCTCTAGATGATTGCTACTGTTGCTTTTTAAGTTAAGGCATTAAAATAAGTATGAAATAAAAATGTCTTCAACTTTAAATGTAAGTTAAATAGGGCTAAAGAAATGGCTTTGCTGTTAGGAACAAGAACTATTTCTTCTTTTCAGTAGACCAGGATTTGATTCTTAACACTCACATCAGACAGCTCAAAATCAGTTGTAGCTCTACCTCCAAAGGGACATAATATCTCTTGACTCTGCAAACCTTCTTACTGGTAGCATCTTGAGATGACTCAAAGCATACATTATTATGCTGAGAGACAGGGAATGTGAGTGAGACATAGCCAAACCTACTCTTGGGATAATCCATTAGTAGTCAAATCGATTAATGAATGTATTAATGGATAAATCTGTTTATGAGGACAGTATTGATCTCTTGAAGGTTTCATTGGAATCTTTCGCTTAAGATCTCTTAATGAAGATTAGGTTTCAACAAAGCTTTGGACAGGACCAGCCATAACTTTTACCCAGTCACCCATTGGAAACAGGTAAATGAATAATAAGCCAAGTATTTTCTCTGACCTCTTCATGATCTGTATTCAAATTTCAAGTGTAATATACTTCACCATCTAATTATATCCTAAATCCAATGCCAGATTATAATTCTACTACCTCTAGCTATCATCACCTCCTTCTTAAGCCCATTCTGTGGTCCTATTCCTTGTAGGACCTGTAGAAATCATGCCCATTCTCTAGGCTAATCAATCTTAATGAAATTACTTCTTACTCTAAAGAAAAAGAAGCTTTGACACAAAATCACCAATCAGGAAGTTGTTTTCCCAAATATGATATGCCATTACGGTGATTTTAAGTTTTCGATGACTTCTTGAAACCTTTTTCTGTTTGTATTTTAGCTGCCTACCCTGGCAGGTACTTGATACGTATTTTACTGAGTTGAGTGGCTGAAGAAATGAATGAATAAAATATACAACAGTCAAGCAAAAGTATGGGGACAATACTACACTGCTTGGATTTCCATATGATTTAGGTTTTGTTCATTTCAGAGGTATATCCAAACATATTTGTGCAGGCTTCTAGAAGGATTCACATATACTGAATGAGTGAATATTTATTTGTTATTTATTCATTCATTTTGAGTATGGAGAGAGGTGGAAACTCATTAAAACCATGTCTAGCTATTTCATACCTCCTTCAGGTTCTAGTTGTGAACACCCTCCCCCACCAACCCAAGTCACTACGGTAAACAAATGACTTCTAGCTCCATTAGCGTCCTTCGTTCACCTTAAATACACAGTAGAGTACCAAGCACTGTGCTCTCAAAAACTGTTACCATCTGTTGAACAAAATTTCCAACACCCTCCTCCCTCAAAACTCTTTTATCAACATGCAGACAACACATTAAGTCTCGATTGACACTTTCAATCTGTTGGCATCTCTCAAACAGCAAAGCTGTCCCCATTGTCTCTCTTTCTATTCTGAAAGAACAGATGGGGATTTCAACCTTTTCCTGAGTGAGCAATGCATCTTTCTTCCGTTAACTTAAAGCTCATCTGTCTCTGTGCTTTACCTATACCATAGTCATGTAGTTGCTTAGATCAAACCAGTTACCATTATTGTTTTTAATACTTTCAAGGAAATAAAAAGTGAATATATTATATTTAACCGCTTAAAGACAATATAGGAATAAAAAAAAAAGTCTATCTTAAATCTGTAATCTACCTGGGTTTTAAGAAAACGTAGGTCTGGCAAGATGGCTCAGTGGGAAATGGTGCTTACTGCCAAGCAGGAAGAGTCCTGGGACCCACATATTAGAAGCAGAGAATTCACTACTACTAATTGTCTTCTGACCTTCACACACACACACACACATTTATACACACACATACATACAAACTCACACATACTCAATACAAGCACTCCACATATGAACACATGTACATTCACACACATACACACACACACACACACACACACACACACACAAAGCAAATGACATAACAAATATATGCTTCTCAATCATTCATCAAATGGAGGTATATGTTAAATAAATTCTTTCCAATCAATTGAAATGTTAAAAAAGATATACTTCTGAATTTTCAAGTGTTGATTTATGAAAGAAAGGTCAACTTGAGTGCAACATCTCAGTTGCTTCAAACAAAGGATCCTGTCTACTCCATACACCAAGTTCTAAACCCATTCTAGACTTTTTTTTTTTTTTTTGGAAATCTGTGCTTTCTCTCTTCACTGTGTTCAGAATATGTAGAATGACAGCTAGCTTTCATTGTGTGAAGAGCAGAAGACAACCTCAGGTTTTGGTTCTCAACTTGCACTTACTCGAGACAGCGTCTCTCTTATCCATTTCTGCTCAGTGCATTAGGCAACTGACCCATAAACTTCCAGGGAATTTTCTTGCCTTTGCCTCCGCATTTTCATTTAGAAGTAGAAGGACCTATGGCTATTGTTTTGTGCCTTACTTGGGTCCCAGCCTTCTCCTAGCCCATGATGAGGGCTTAGTACTATCTGGAACATTTTACCTACATGCCTAATGCAATCCTCACAAAAGCTTTAGAAGTTGGAGACTATTACTGCCCTGATTTAACTGATGAAGAAACTGAGGTCATAGAGCCAATCAGTGAAGGGCAGGTAATTGAGACTCTGGAGCCTGCCCTTTGAACCCTACATCTTCACTGTCTCCTTTTAATAAGTAAAATCCTTGAGGCTCCTAAACTGTAATGCTCCTGGGGAAATTAATGTTAATTTCCTGACAATGAGGTTGAACAGACCTATGGAGCCAAATTCTACTAAGCCTTGAACCTCTCTCTGGTAGTAACCCAAGAATATTTTATCCCTTCCTAATCCTTGCTAAATTTATTATGTGCATTTGAAAGTAGATGAGGGTGCATAATTACTAATTAAATGGGTCAGAAAAGAATTCAGACTCATTCTAAGTGATGCTTAGAAATGACGTCACCAATTCATGTTGTCAGTCACGGATAAACTCACATTAAAATATTTATAATTACACTTCTGTCTTTGAAGATTACTAATGTACAGAAGTTGGCCTTTGAAAATTCATGTAGAGCTAAGCCTCTACCTCATTATGCTCTGCCTCTGCAGCTGGGGGTGGGGTGATTTATAACAGAAAGTACAGCTAATCATAGAATGCCTTCGGTAATTACTTCATACCCTTTATTTCCATTTTATTTAACACAAATGTTATAGTTCATATTCATTTAATATTTATAGATTTAATACAGATCTTGTAACACGGAGTTGTTTGAAGTCTCCAAAAATATACAGTCTCCAAATCCATAATGGGAGAACATCTTGCCCCTTTTTAGAGATTGTGTCATGGAGTTCGGACTAGCTCTGATCACTTAGGACAGGCTCCATCGTTAACAGGAACAGCAATTCTGTCCTTACAATTTCTGCTTTTGCCTTTTAAGCAGCTGGACCAGGCCCTCAAACGAAGAAGTAAAAGAAAGGAAGGGCTTATAAACATAGATCTTTTAAGATTTTAAAAAAAGTGTGTGTGTATGTATGTGTGTGTGTGTGTGTCTGTGTGTGCATCTGTGTGTCTGTGTGTTTCATAAAAGACCAAGTATCTATGGAGGCCATTGGATCTCCTGGAAACAAGACTGATAGGCAGCTGTGCATTGCCTGATGTGGAGCCACATTTTCGTCATCTGCAAGAACAACATGCACTTTTAACCTTTAAACCATCTGTAGCCCAAGATACGGCTTAATGGATTTGATAATTATGCCCTTAGACTCTTACAGAGATATTTTATTACATATAAAATTCTGATTACTTAATAGGCTGAGCATATATTTTTGAATGCCTCCAGTGACAGAAACTGACTCATTCTCTAAGCTGACACTTTGACATTTTTCAAGTTTAAGCCATATGTTATTATTAACAAACACTTTAATTATTTTAGAGCAACTAAATACCTCTGGATATGAAAAACTTATATATTTTAAACTTTCCTCAAATCCCTTTTTATTTATATCACAGTCACTGTTTTATGTGATTTGAAAATTGAGATAGTGAGAAGCTAAAATGATGACTCAGCAAATTAGAGCATGACCTGTTCTTGCAGAAGACCTGAGTTTATTTCCCAGCACTCATATTGGGTGTAGCACAGCCTCCTATAACTCCAGTCCCAGGAGATCTAATGTCTTCTCCTGGTCTGTACCATCACCTGTACTTCCATGCACATATACAG